TTTAATTTATTATTTAAGAAATTATATCAAAATATTGGTTGGTATAAGGTAAAATATTTTGAATTTTTATATACATAATTCATTATAAACAAATTGTGGCTGAAGAACTAAAATCCTTAAGGTACAAAAGAGATGCTTCAATTAGAACACAAAACTCTTCCAAAAAATTTATTGAAAAAATTGATATGTCTACTGCCACTGTAGAAGATCTGGAATCCAGATCACATTTTTTGGAAGGTCTATTTTTAAAATTCGACTCGCTTCAAACTGATATAGAAGGCTTGGACCAAACTGATGACGATGTCAGAGAAGTTTTTACGGAAAATCATTTAAGTTTAAAATCTGAAATTTTGAAATTAATTAAAAAAATAAAAAAGTCTAATGAACCTGATATTAGCATCGTTCAGCCTGAGAACACCTTTCTCAACAGGCTCGTCTCGACCGTGGATGCAGAAGATGCACGGCATCGGGGCGCCATTCTGAAAGGGTCTGAAAGGGCGCTAAAATCGAAAAGTGATTTTCCACTTAATTGTTTTTTGTAATTTTTTCTTTTTTTAAATCAAGTTTCCAATCCAAATTTTTTTTGAAAAAATTTTTGCTTCGCTCAAATTAAAAAAACACACAAAAAAAAATGTAGTCGTAGTAGGCTTTTCTTTAAAGAATTTTTTTTTCTTTTTGGTTTATAAAATACAGACATTTTTCATTTTCGTTGCGATATTTTCAGTAAGAAAAAATAGTATTTTATTTAATTTAAATAAAATATAATTTGTTTTGTGAAATATTTAATTTTAATTAGACATTAAAGTGTAAGAAAAAAGTGTAATTTGTTGGATAATACCATTTTTGTGAGTATTGTGATTTTTATCAATTTTATATAGATTTCAAATTATCAAAATTTTCAGATGTAGATATTAATCCTCAATTTAAAGAAAACCCATTACGACGGCGTAAAAAACGTATGTTTGATTACGAACGTCGTGATGAGAGACCAAGAGACCCGGAATAGAACTATAAAATTTCATTCTTTCTTCCAATTGTCGACAGTGCAATCAACTCCCTAATAGAGAGATTCGAACTTCTAAGTAGTCATGCCGAAAAGTTTCACTTTCTTATAAATTTTAATGAAATTTATAATTTGGGTGACGAAATAATGAAAAATAAATGTACCGATTTACAAACTGCATTAACTGATGGTGAAGAAATAGACATAAACTCTTCTGAGTTATATAATGAACTTTTTATATTTAAAGATACCATAACGCCGCAACTAAACAATTATGATTTTAAACTATGTATACAAATGATTTATTTGGGATATTTCCAAATTTAACAATAGGTTTGCGGATACTATTAACTCTACCAGTTTCTGTAGCAAGTGGCGAAAGGTCATTTTCTAAACTTAAATTAATTAAGACATATTTGCGATCAAATATTTCTCAAGAGAGATTAGTTGGGTTATCAATGATTGCTATTGAAAGCGATATCTGCGATGAACTAAAAATTAATAATATTTTGGATGAATTTGCTGCGATAAAAGCAAGAGAAATAAATTTTTAAGCTCACTATCGTGCAATTGATTTTATGTGTAATTGATATCAGTTACAAATAAATGTTTAATATTAAATATTATACAATAATCAATATACTGTTTAATTTGCATTTGATTTTTTTGATATATTTTTTGATAAAGGGCGCTAAATAGAAACTTGCATCGGGGTTCTAGTACCGCTAGAGCCGGCGCTGTTTCTCAACACATCTAGAATTGGTAAAAATTCAAAATTACCAAGACTGGAATGAACTAAGTTTACTGGAAAATATGCCGACTTAAGCATAATTGAAAAATACTAACATCTCAAAAATTGTGTAATCGAAAAAGCAGCGAAGGTTAAAAATGGTCTTGATTTTAACGAAGAAAATTATTATATTGCTCTCAAAAAATTGAAAGAAAGATTTGATAACAAACGTTTGCTTTTTCAGGATCATATTCATATTTAAAGTAAGTAGTGCAGGACAACATTCACAATCAGTAACATTTCGTGAATTGTTGGATATCTTCAATTCCCACATAAAGACATTAAAGACTCTTGGTACCAAGGAAGACATAGATTTTTATGTATCATTTACTTTCAAAGGTCGACACTACAATTGTTGCTAAATGGGAAGAATCTCTATCTGCTAACAAATTAGACTCTTGGGAAGATATGTGTTTATTTCTAGAAAGAGGGGTCAACTAATAGAAAATGTCGCAGAAATCGAAAAAGCTTCAGAATCAGTGTCTTCAAAAAACTTTTCAAAGATTGCAGGTATGTCATTCAATTTTAAAAGAACTGCTAGTAATTTGAACCAAACAATTTTGACTGCAACCAACAAACAAAACATCGCAAACACAAAAGATAAATCTAATTTTATTACATCTAACAAAACATGTAGTCTTTGCTCTAATGTAGAACATTTCATACAAACTTGTCCAAATTTTCTGAAATTAAGTGCTGTTCAGTGATTTAACGAGGCAAAGCGATTTAGTCTTAATAACATATTTCATATTTTTCGCGCACTACTTGATTCTGGGTTTCACATTCATTTTATTTCGAATTTTTGGGTTTAAAAAAGTAAGCAAAATCCATTACAGTGAATGGTATCTCTTCAATTAGTTCACCAATAAAATCAAAAGTAAAGGTTTGGCTTAAATCTTGTGTAAATGAGTTTGAAGAACAAATCGAAGCATTTATACTGAACAATAATTGGATTGTTGCTGGTAATTATTCAAATGAACCAATATTTCGCAATTTGTCTTTAAATGTACTCGTATGTTCACACACAGAAATAAACAAAGTTATTTCTACAGAGAGTAATTTGGAAAAACTTTTAAAACGTTTCTTTGAAAATTCTAGAAAATCCATGTACACTCGTACACTCGCAGACTCCTACGAAAATGCAAAATGGCAATTTTTTAAATTAGAAACCAGGCTGCAAAAATTTCCAGAATTCAAATCTAAATATATAGATTTCATGCGCGAACATATTGATTTAAATCACATGGAATATACACCTCATGATAATTTAAGCAAACACAATTGCTTCCTTCCGCATTACTGTGTTTTACGACCGACAAGTGGCACCACAAATTTAAGAGTTGTTTTTAATGGCTCTGCAAAAACTAAAAATTATCGTTCATTAAATAAAATTTTAGCAAATGGTGCTATTATTCAAAATTATTTACTCAATTAGTTCGTTTTAGGTCTTACAAATATGCCATAACATCAGATATTACGAAAATGAAACGCCAAGTTGAAGTTAAAGAAAGTGATACTAATTTCCAACATATTGTATGGAAAGAAAGTCCAAAACACGATTTAAAAATTTTTCGCTTAAGAACAGTAACCTACGGCATAACACCTGCTTTATTTTTTGCCTGTCGAGCTTTATATCAAATAACCGATGAAGAAACAAGCAAAATTTAAACAAGATGAACAAACAAGCATTAGGATCTGCTGTAGTTAAAGAAAATTTTTATTATAATGATTTAATTTGTGGTAGTGAAAACTTACAAGAAGCAATTAAAATTAGATATGAAGTCGAAGAAATATTGTCAAGTGGTGGTTTTTCACTGCATAAATTGTGCACAAACAGTACCGAAATATTAAGCACAATACCTCAAGAAAAAAAAGGGACGGTTTCTAAATATTGATGACAAAGATGTTGTAAAAACTTTAGGACTTATTTGGCAACCAGATAAAGACATGTTTCACTTTTCATTTTCAAACAATTTAAAATCACTAAAAACAACGAAGAGAACAATTTTATCATCCATCGCAAAACTATTTGATCCATTTAGTCTCTTAAACCCCATAATAGTAAAAGCTAAAATATTTATGCAAATCTTGTGGAAATTAAAGGTCGATTGCGATGAATCTTTACCACAAAACCTAGTCCACGAATGGAATAATTTTTTCCAAGATTTTAATAATATAAATAGAATTTCAATTCCACGCTTTATTATATGTCAAACCAAAATATTAGAGCTTCATGCAGTTTCGGACGGTAGCGCATCAGCATACGGTTGTTATATTTATATTAAAAATGTAAATGATTCAAATGAAATTTACGATTCTAAATTTTAAATTTACAGAAATAGTTTGTTGAACAGACTCCACTACTGTTTTGGGGTGGTTGAATGCGAAATCTACAAACTTTAATCGCTAAATTTCAAACCGTACAGCAAAAATTAAAGAACTTTCTACTAGATATTTGTGTTACTATGTGCCTAGCGCAGAAAACCCCGCAGATTTGGTTTCTAGACGTTCAACTACATCGAAGTTGTTAAAATCTGAAATTTCGTTTAACGGACATTCGTTTTTGTGCAAACAATCCTTGGAAAATAAGTACATCCCTGCAAATTTCAAAGACTTACCAGAACAAGCTATTGAAGTTTTTCTAACGTCAAAACCCGTTTCTGTAGTTACGAATATTATTACTATCTTAATATTTTTAAATTCATTTTGTTATATAATAGGTTACAACATGCCTTAGTATACATATGTACTGAGATTTGTAAGAATAATGAAAAGTAGAATTACAAAACCAAAGACAATAAGTACATAGAACTTGAAAAAACAAAGTCAAAGTTATCGTTAAGCTTTTGCAACAAAATTTCCTTATAGAATATGATTTACTAAAAAAGGGTTCACAACTTCCAGTTAACAGTCAGTTAAAAAACTTATAAACATTTATCGATAAAGATGGAATAATTTGTGTAGGTGGACGCTTAAAAAAATCATCACTAAATTTCGATCAAAAACATCAAATGATTTTTCCTAAAAATAAAATCACAAAAGCATTATTATATACCAGCATATCAAAAATTTCCATGTTGGAGCACAAACTCTTCTCTCAATCATCTCACGAGATTTTGACCACTTAGGGGAAAGAGTTTGGCGAAGAACATCGTATTCAGCTGCGTCAAATGTTTTAGGTATCGACCTCGCGCTATAGAACAACTTATGGGCGATCTTCCTAGCGAACGAGTTCATCCTTTTCGAGCATTGTTCCATGCAGGCGTTGACTTTTTTGGTTCCTTTTGGATAACACACCTTGTAAGAGGCGGAGCCCCTTTAAAAGCATATGGTTGTTTGTTTGTATGCCTTTTAACCAAAGCGACTCATTTAGAAGTTGTTTCTAACTTGTCAACAGAAGCATTTTTGGCGTGTTTAAAATGTTTTATATCACGAAGAGGTAAACCTGCAACAATTTTATCGGATAATGCAACAAACTTCATAGAGTTCTAATAACAAACTTAAAGAGTTGAAAAATTTATTCGAATTACAAAAAACCAAAGATAAAATTAACGAATATTGTTCAACTGAATCTTTTAAATGGAAATTTATACCGCCCAGATCCCCACATTTTGGCGGTATGTGGGAAAGTTCAGTGGAAATGGTAAAGGAAAAAATAAATAAAGTCATTGGAACTAAGCCACTAACATATGAGGAGCTAGAAATTTTATCAATTCAAATCGAGAGCTTAGTAAATTTGAGGCCTTTAACTTCCACTTTCAGACAATCCAAATGATCTAAACATGCTAACTCCTTCTCATTTTTTGATTGGTGGACCACTAGTAAACATATCGGAACCACTTTTTTTAAACGACAATCAAGAATTTTTCAAACATGAAAATTTACTCACTAGGTGGCAACGAATAACTAAAATTTATCAAAACCTTTGGTCCCGGTGGCATTTAGAATACTTACATTTATTCCAACAACGCTCAAAATGGAGAAAACAACATGCCAATATCAAAATAATCAGCATGGTTTTACTTATCGAAGAAAATTTACCTCCAAAAAGCTGGTGTTTAGGAAGAGTAATCGAAGTTTTCCCAGGCAAGGATGGTTGCATTCAAGCTATCGCTGTTAAAACCAAAAACTGCATTTTTAATCGCGCTATCACTAGGGTTTGTCCATTACCCAAAAAATTCGAACTTGATAATCAGTCATTCTAAGTTCAACATAAATATTAACTTTTTTTTTTGGGGTGGCGTTATGGTAAAATTCTCATTGTCATTTCGAATTTTGATAATTGCAACTTAACTCAAATTTATAAAATTTGTATTTTAAAATTTTTTACCTTATTCTGTAGTTGAATTTTGAATTTAAACTTTGAAACTTAAGTATTGATTTTTTAGATATAACTCCTGTACTAAAATTTAAAATAACTTAAAATTTTTATTTTGTTAAAGTACAGCATCATAAAATTTTGTTTTACCGCTAGGAAGCTTCTAACAATTTGTTATTGAAAATGTTTTTTTTTATATACAAGAACAACAATTATAATATCAAATTTAAATTACTTATATATACATACACAACATGTACGTATGTGCGTACATATTTCACATATCACTAAGATTTATCATACGATAATTTAGAATTAGCAATTATTAATTGAAAACATAAGTTTTAGTTGTAATAAAGCATTTATTGATTAAACCGACCAGTTTAATTTTTTGTAATTTATACAACTTGGAAATACAAAATATCGTTACAACATTTTAATTGAAAAAAATTAGATCAATTAATATTTTAGAATTATAATTTCGTAATTATGGATTTGGAAAAGCCTAAATTCCCTCCACATACTAAATTATCTACTAAAATGACTGAAAAATTCTTAAGACTAGTTACTTCAACGATTAATAAAAACTATTCAGGAGATCCCTTAGCACTCCAATCGTTTATAGATTCAATCAACCTATTAAGTACTATTGCAACGAGCGACCCCTTGAGACACCTTTTAAAAACATGTATATTGTCAAAACTCGAGGGTAAAGCAAGGGAAAAAGTTGAGAACAATAATAACTCAGTAAGCGATATAATTCAAACTTTAAAATACAAAATAAAGGGAGATAACTCTAAAATCATAGAAGGGAAAATGCAAGCATTAAGAACAGATAGAGTATCCTTATCTGAATTTTCTAAACAGGCTAACGAATTAGAGGACAGTTTAAAACAATCCTTGATTATGGAAGGAATCAGCAAGGAAAAAGCAAAGGAATTAACTATTGAAAAAACGGTGAATATGTGTAGAGCATCGTCTAGAACTGACCTTGTAAAATCGGTATTAGCATCAACAAAATTTAGCGACTCTAAAGAAGTAGTAGCTAAATTCATTATAGAAGTAAACGAGAAAAATAAAGAGAATCAGGTATTAGCGTACAGAACTAATCAGTACAAAAATAATAAGAACACTTATAAATATAATAACTACAATAGCAGCAATCGAGGTAGAAAAAATAATAACAATAATTCTTTCAGTAATAAATCATTTAATAACAATAATAATAGATCATTCAATCATAATAATAATAACTGATTCCAAAATCGGAGCAATTATAGACAAAATTTTAATGTAAACGCAAACGTTAGATATATGGGAAACACCAACCACCCTCAATGGCAAAGACAGAACACCGAGGGTCAAAATTTAGAAAAAAACCTGAGCCAATAATAAATTAAAATCTCAGCGATAAATAAACATCATAGAATAAATAAAGAGGAAAATATAAATATAAAAGGAATAACAAGGAATACAATTAAATCTTCAGGGACTTTATGGTCAAATTTATATATTAACGAAAAAAAATAGAGTTGACCGTGTCAACTCTGTGATACCGTACGAAATTGGTACCCTATGTGCGAATAAATATGTAATAGCTGACTATTGACAGATTATAACTTTAAGTTACCATATTAATTATGCAAAATTTCAGTACTGTGTTTTCAATATTTGCTATGATATGGCCGAACTACTATTGAAGTTGTTCATACACCAGAAGAAGAAAGAGCCAAGAAATTTCAATGTATTTTATCAAACACATTGACCCAACTAATTTATTCGCTTGTGTGAAACTTCAAAACAACTTTTATAACTTCTGAGATATAGTCAAATTTAGAAGTTGTACGGCAGTTACCAGAAGAAGTCAAGCAATTTAAACGCATTTTGTCAAACACATTGGCCCTACTAAGATATTTACTTATGCAAAATTTTAATACCTTTTATAGTTTCTAAGATAGTCAAATAAATTTTTAAGTTGTATGGCAGCTATCCGAACCAGCACCCCTATCATATCCAATTTAAATAGGCTTCTGGTATTAACTATAATAAACAATTTGTGAAAATTTGGTGAGCTCAATTAGTTTTTGAGTTATCGTTGGGGCGGACGGACAGACAAAGCTAAACCGACTCAAAATTCGACGCTGATCAAAAACATACACTTGACTCTATATCTAAGACCGTTATTTCTCAGCGTTACAAACCGTAACGCAAATTTGACATACAATTCAAACATACGTTCGTACGGGTATAATAAGAATAATTTAAAATGCAGTTTTAAACAAATTTGATATACCACCTCAATTAAGTATATATTAAGGAAAGACTTCTTAAAAAATTATAAATGTAATATTGACTATGATGAAATGAGTTTCATTATTAAAACAGATTTTGATATTTTCACAATTCCAATTTATGGTGGACTAAGCAGTGATACATTAGCTTAATGTGAAGTATTTAGGAAATTCACATTACCTTCTAACGAAGAATGTGTAATTTTAGGTCAAGAAAAATCTGAAGGAATTTTTATTTCTCGTACAATAGTATCGTCAAGGAACCTCATAATACGCATAATGAATATTAATATAGAACCCAAAACAATAAACTCAACCGCTATCTGATTTCACTATAATAAAGACGCATAAAAACGAATTTAATCAGGAACGTATTAAAAAACTTGAAAATATAATTTCGAAAAATACAGAACAAAATTATTATTTCAAATTAAAACCATTATTTGGAGAATACAGTTATATTTTTCAAATGGAAAATGACAAAATGACTGTTAATAATGTTTATAAATTAGGAATAACTGATAATAATCAGGTATACAAAAAAAACTATCGACTGCCTTTAATGCAAAAGCAGGAAATCAATGAACAAATAGAAAATTTAGTAAAACACGAATTAATTGAGCCAAGCTAATCAAATTTTAATATTTTAATTATATTAGTACCCAAAACAGGAAATTTAAAGAAATGGCGTCTTTGTATACACTATAGGCAAGTTAATAAAAAACTAATAGCTGATAAATTCCCATTATCGCGTATCGAAAATATACTAGATAATAAGGAGAACTAAATTTTTTTCAGTACTCGATTTATCTTCGGGATTTCATCAAATCACACTAGATGAAGAATCTAGAGATATTACTTCATTTAGGATCATATCGTTGGAAAGTGTTACCATTTGGTCTTAATGTTTCATTAAATTCATTCTCAATAATGATGTCTTTAGCTTTCGCTGGAGCAATTCCTTTGCAATGTTTCATCTACATGGACGACGTTATAGTAGTAGGATGTGCAGAAAAATATCATTTTAAAAATCTTATATCGGTATTCGCAACATGTAGAAAATATAAGTTGAAATTAAACCCAGATAAATGTCAATTTTTTAGAAAAGAATTAACGTATTTAGGACATAAATGCACAGATCAGGGAATCTATCCTGACGATTCCAAATACGGGCGGGTAATAATAAATTATCGAATCTTATGTATTTTACTAACCTAGATATAAGTTTAAAATGTGACAAAGAAGAATGGTAAAAATATATTTATAAATAGTATTAAATAAAGGAAGATCTGTACAGTTTTACGAGTCGATTTAAGTAAGTAACATTGGTTGTTTTATTTAAAAATTAATACGGATGTTATAATAAACCGTATACATTATAAGAGGTATTATACAATTTTATGCGACATAACTCAAATCGAGGTTCTAAAATAATTACTCAAAAGATAATAGAACTCAATGGAACTAATTATTTGTTTAATTAGGTACTTTTTCGTAATTATTTTTAAGAGCATTTCTTAATTTAAGTTTTATCTTACAAAATATAGGGAAAAAAACATATCTATATATATATGGCGAGTGTGTTTTTGAAGAAAAAAAGTAAACTTAAAATATCTCACACACAGAATGGAACACAATTTCAAAACTACAGATACAACACTTGCAACGTGCAAGTACACACGACTAGTATTTTATATGCGAACTATGCTAAAGGTAAAAAACCCTATCTCCTCTGCTTTAAATATTGAATGTTTTTGTTGGTTCTAATTCAGAGATACAATTTTTATGAGTTAATTTTCGGTTTATGCAAAGTAAATAAATAGATACATTTGTATTTGTTAAATGAATTATAGGAAAAGCTTTACATAATCAAACACCAATCGTGTTTAAAATTTACTATCGGGCTTGGTCTATGCTGAAAAAGATAAATTAAAAGAGATTTTAAATAATAATCTAAAATTAAAGTGTATTAAAGTGAAAAAAATAAAGTCATTTAATAAACTATACCTTGTGTTTTTTGAAAAAATCTATAAGAATGACTGGTTTAAAAAAACATTTTTTTATAAATATAGAAGAGGGTGTAGAAAATTAATAAATGTAAATATAAATGACACAGTGCACAAATTGTCAGATGTATGGCTAAAGGTAACCAGGCTAATCATAACA